AGCCCTGGGTTAAGAGCCCCCGGTACCCACTGGATTGGAGGCTACGTGGGCCCCAGAAGCAATCTGGACGATGTGAAGAACAGAAAATTCTTGCCACTACCAGGATTTAAACTCTGACCAGTCGGTCGTCAAACCTGTAGGCAGTCGTTATACTAACTGCCCTGCGATCTTATTGTTATTATTTTGAATTATCTAAGGCTTAAGATTACTTAGTAATATTCTCGAAAGTCTCTCCGTTAATTATTATCTGTGAGTCAATAAGCCTAAGTAGGCCTAATGCAGGAGGATGGGTGGGACTCACAGGCTGTCTGAACTCAGTGCAGAAGAGAAATCTCTATTCCTCTTGCCCAGAATTGAACCGTGATTCCCCGGACGTCCAACTCGTAGCCTAGTCATGACAGTGACTGACTTATTTTGGAATCTCAAGATGAAATGAACATGTAAAATTGAATTCAATCAGTTCAAATTTAAAACGACAAAATTTACTAATTCAAGACTGAAATATATTGGATTCCGGATATTGAAACTTAGTTAGTAATACTTTCTAAAACCGTAAAATAATGTAACAATATTGGATACTTGACAAAAATACACACGACGTGCTTCTGATTGGCTAAAATCTTTTTATTATTTCTGCACATTAGATCAATATTGTTCGCCTAAAGCTAGTCTATTTCTTACTCTGATGTGAATACTCGTATATTGAAAATTGTTGAAAAATTTTATTTCTTTTTCCTGCGTTATGATACCACGTGGCTTGGTGCATGGTCACCTATGTTTCGGAGCAACATGTTATCTCAGTGTACAACTCTCGCTCATATCTCAGTATTTAGGCCAGTTATTTTCCTACTATTGGTCTACTTTCATGCTTTATAGGTTTTGAAGTTAAAAAAGGGTAAAAGGTAAAACTCTCCTTGTAACATTTCGTGAAGGACAATAAGGTTGTGAGACTTCGAGGCTCCCACATTTTCTCTAGATAATCGAATCAGAGATGGCAGTGAAGTTGTCAGACTTACTTATAGTCAGGCCACCTTTTACCCCTATGAAAATTCCTGGTACTCATTTTTGTTGGAGGCTGCAGCTGGAAGGATTAGATAAATTAAAAAAAAAACACCTAACCGAGAATCGAAACCGCGAACTTCCAGCTTGTAACACAGTGCATCAACCAACTACGCTACCGCGTGTCCCCTAAAGTTTTGAGGGACACTTTTTAATCACAGTTTCATTGAATATACAAATTACAAACTTTTATTAGTTTTGGAAAGAGAGCACCTAGAACAATTATTATAATAACAAATTACAGGCGATAATTTTTTCGGTAAATATTGACATTAGCGACTGGCTACACTGTAAAGCCGAATAAAGACACTTTAGTTTATTGTTTCTGTTTTCTGGTCCTATAGTGACTTTACAGCTCTGAATTTTATTTTCATGGGAAAGACACCACTACAGGGAAACATGTTCTGCTTAGTCTAGTTATATGTACATGGCGTCGTCCATAATAATCAGAACTGTTATCCAGTTCACAATGGGGCCGATCACAGTGACCGCGCCGTCTAAAGCATGAACCGTCTCCACCGCTCAAACACTGGGATCATGGTTTCAAATCCTACTCAAGGCATGGACGTCTATGTTTATATTGTTCTGTGTTTAGATAGCTGCCTTGCGACGGGCTGATCCCCCGTCGACAAAGTGCTACAGACTGTGTATAATTTTAAGAATTTGAAGAAGCGGCTAAGGTCCGCAATGGCTGTGGAGCCATAAAGGGGTAGTTCATAGTGGACTACGACAAAAGGATTTCTTTCAGCTGCAATGCCTCACAATATTACTCTTCAGTAAGCTATTAGGAAGATCCATAAGAGTCTGGGGAAGCTTGAATTGTTCTAAATCAGGCACTTCCAACGCTGATAATCTTAATAT